GCAGGAGCGATCTTAATATCTTAAATATCTTAATTTGTGTTGCGAAGATGAACGAAGGTCTTACGGGGTTGGAACAACATGAGGGTGAGTAAATACTGACAGAATTTTCATTTTTGGGTGAACTAACCCTTTAACGTTTTCAAATTGTTTTCAGAAACCGTCTGGTTACTGATATTCTTCTCAATATCAGAAAATCGGCTGAATGGATTTGAACACGGTAAAACTAAACTGTTTAACTCTGGGGGAGTGGTAAAATGAGCCTATTTCCAAAAAAAGTGTAGTATCCCTTTAAGGACTACAGCAAACATCTTGTAGGGACTACACGATATTCCTCACACAAGGGGTGCATTCGAAGCCGTCCGAATCTCGCGATAATTAGTACGTCACCTAGATAATTCTCGCCTACTCTTTTATGATTCGTTCACAGTTTTGCTCGCCTACTGTTTTTCCCATACTATACAGTAGGGAAGTATGCGGTTTCGAACGCAGCCAAGCTCTCGAAACCCCGCCCTCTGTGTCGGGAGCAGCAGCTCATTTGCATTTAAAGGGCCAACTTTAACATTCCATTTAAATATCTGTGGAGTATTTCGAGCTAAAACACACACTCTGGGGACATCAGATACTTATTTTACATCTCGTGGAAAGGGCATTATGCATCTTTTTCGTTATCTACATGTATATTAAAGTCACCAACAATTATGACTTTATGTCCAGCCAGTACTAACTCTGAAAGAAAATCAGCATAATCCTCTAAAGTCTGTATGGTGCCCTGATGGCCTGTATACAGTAGCCAGCACAAATCTCAAACTGGATTTATCATTTACACTAGACAGTTTAACATTAAGCACCAATTTTTCAAAATAATGAATTTAAAACTAGACTTCTCAGTAATTCTGAAAATATTACTATAAATTACAGCAATTCCTCCCCCTTTGCCTTTCGGACGAGGCTTTGAATGTGCCGTGATGTCAGGCGCTCTGGCTCCCGGCAAACATGTGACTATGGTGGCGTCTCTATTTTCACGTTCCGTGTGATCGAATCGCCAATAACTAAATAATCACCAGGATTATCAGTGGGTGTTTTACTGAGTGAGGAGAAGCTGTTTAATGTTGTAATCGGAACGGAAGAGCGGCGCGACTACAGCGTCTCACGGTCACCCCGTTGGTCTACTGCGCGGCTCTACAGCCGGACCCCAACGATGATGAGTTCACTAACCCGAGGCGCATCCAAAGCCCTGCACTCTTACTATCCTCAATTAAAGTTTAGATGCCTTTCTCTAGACTATCTCCCTGCAGTCATCACATGTGTAGTCCTCAGCGCTGACAGAGAAGGCTAAACTGTGACACGAAGTGCAAGTGACAATAACAGGAGAAGACATTATTCACCGTTTTTTTTTTGTTGTTTGTTTTTTGACGGATTCTACTTTCCTCAGTAGCTTGTAAATCCTTAAAAGGCGCAAGGAAATAAAGGCGGCAAGCATGAGTAGTTGTGCTAGCGTGTTGTGCTAGCGTTATCAGATTAAAGGGACAGCTTCAGAGTTATTGAAATGGTTATGTGAGTTCTTTCGGGTTGAATGGTGACCGTCTCGCCCCCCCAAACCCCCAAATCTCACTTGCAACTTTGGTCCGGCCGGCCTCAGCGTCGGGAAGTATCGCGTGAGCTCTCGCGATCTAACATATTCCTTTACGGCACTAATCCGGGATCAAGGCAGAGAGGGATGGAGTTTGTCACTATCGTCATAGCTGAGCGGCATATAAGAGCTAGGAAAGCCTTGCTGGAGGAACAGAGAAAGAGGAAACGGCAGACTGACCGAGCGAGGAGTCGGACACGAGCACAGGCGTAATGTGATATATGCCCCCATTGAAACATCTCGCGGCACAGATGTACCAATACAAACAAATAAAACATCTCCAGTTAACTCTAGTAGAGCATTCATTCATGTGTTTTTGAAATCAAGTGACCAAAGTGCTTGTGTCCGCTACGATCAGTGGCGCGGATACGGTGTTGTGTTGTGACGCGCACAGTCTTCACACGGACACGCTTCAATCCGTTGTGGAGACTGAGAGACTCTCTATACGGTGAAATCACAAAACCTAATGCACAAACAACTTGTCTCTGCTTGATATACAGTAACCCATAAACAATCGGTTTTGATGAAGAAAATAAACTATACAACGAGTACGGATTAGAACCCAAACCTCTGACACGCTTGGCAAAAGTTCTGCCGCTGGACCATTAAAGCTCATGGGGATAATTGTGGGATCTGTGTATTTAATCACGTGAAAATTCTCACCATTAACAACATATATTACATCTCATTAAATGACAAATCAAACACAATGTACTATTGTATACTATGTAATACGCCATGTCACGTTCTGAGTGAGTGGTGACAGTAACGTTAAATTCAAGTACTCCACAGCGACTCTAGGGGTCACTGTTTGACAAAAACGGGATTCCTGCATAGTGCCCCTTTACTGTGATAGACAACAATATCTAATGCCTGGTTCAGATTACACCACTTTTTTTCCTGTTACGATAGTCACGGTGTCAGATTCAGTCATGTGTCAGTCATCGCATGCCATCTTTAACGGTGCGCGTGATGTCATCGAGAAGGTGAAACTAGCGAGTGACTTCTGGAAATGAACGTAAACAAACAATGGATGATGCGGTGAGTGTTGTATTGGCTGTCCTGTGTTCAGAAAAAAGTAAAAAAAAAAAAAAAGAAATAAAAAAAAAAGAAAGAAAACCCGACAATGGACGCGTTCCTGGATTGCTCGAAGAGGACAGAATGGGCTGTCAATCCTCCAAAGAGAACTTGAGGTAAAATATTGTTTTCTTATATTTTTACTTTTAATTTTAACGTTAGCAGCATCTTCTCTCTTTCGTTTTGCCATTTTTGAAAGTTGTGTACGGAAAAGCTTCTGTCCTATCCACAAGTTTCCTACGCCCCATGAGGCCTTGCGTCAAAAGTGGGCGCGACATCCGGTTGGAAGTAAACAAAGCACGATTTGACATGCTTGACACTCGTTCATTCAACAGTTGACAGTCATTCAAGTTACAGCGATCCAAACTAGCTAACGATGTGGGAATACAACCTCAACGAAATTAAAAAGGGTGAAATAACAGTACCTTTACCCTCCGCAGTAGCTGATTGGGAGTATCATAAAAACATTATTAACAATCAATACTGATCAAGGCATGGCGACAGACAGTTGTGCGAGCTGACAAACAATTAAAATAAAAAATACACACTTAGTCATTGAGCTTTGGAGTTTATTCATGAATGTGCTACTGGAATACATTAACTGGCACATCTGGTATTCTGTCAACACAGGCTTTGATCCTGAGTTTAGGTGTGACATCAGTAGCGAACAGCCAATCACATGCTGATAGAGTTTAGAGAATATTAAGAATTTAAACAAATGTACACAGGAAGATTCGTCGTCTTTTGGGAGGTGATGGAAACTACAGTCGTTGGCAGGAACACTCTGATTTCGTTTTCAGCTTATGTTCAAAACAATCACGTTTAAGCCACTGAATTAGTTTAGTCCGGTTATACATACAACCGCGAACAGCACATGTTGTCCCTGAGCTCCGTAACGACATCTCTCATAAAGATTTGCGTCTTTAAATAGTAAAATAATTCTCCGAAAAACAGCTAGCCTCTTCGCTAACTAACACACAAAATACCATTGGAATGCTGCTTCCTCCGCGTCACCGGAAGTTTCACCCACTTTATTTTTTACAGGAGCGCCCCTCGGAAACTTGTGGATTGGTCAACCTCATACATGTGACAGAATTGTCGTGGACACACACAGTCTCAAACACACACACAAACACTCTCTTGCTCAAACACACACTCACTCACACACACACACACACACACACGCACTGCTGTTATTCACTGATGTGTTTCAGCGGCTTATATTCAGCAGCAGGGGCGGTTCTAGGGTGAGTGGATATATCCGGGGCTTAGCCCAGAGAAATACATGTATGTGTCACGATACAAGGAATAAACTTTAAATAAAATTCTTATATTTGTTTGTTTTTTTAACAAGGTGAATATTTCTTGCTAATTAAAATTAAAAATCACAATGTCACACAGCCTCTTCTTTCCTTGCTGACTCATCTGAGACATGGTAAAATAGCATAGGCCCCTGTAGGCCATGCTGACCAAACATATAAAGCACTCAAAATGCGTTTGACAATCTAAGAAATCGAATACTATGATTAAAAGTTACAGATACCTGCTGAAGCTGTTGTATCTTGTTTTAGTGATGGCTGGGGTGTTTTACTTACTTTTTTGGAAGAACTTTGAGACCATCCATTTTACTCATTCATAACTAACTTACACGTCAACAAACCGCATGGCTCCAAAATATTTAATTTCATTGGCTGGATCGTACAGCTTCTCATCGATGGTTGGCCAGTTTACATGTCAGTCAGACGCACTAGCCTGAGTGGGCGGTTCTTGTCGGTTGTAAATGACAACCATAGACAGTAAAAGATGCAGATGCAAGAGTCGAGAGATATACATTTAATTAATTAAATTCTCTCAGTGATGGTGTACAATGCATGATGATAAAAACATCAGCATCACATTTCCACATGTTCTTCCACATATATATTTAATCCAGGCATGTAAAGTTGTTTAGACTATCAGAGCTGTTTATAGAAAACATAAGTGGCTGTTTTATTGAATATGAGCGAGTGTATAAATAGCCCCTGGTCTGCGTGATAAGGGCATGTGTGACGGCTGACCTTTATCTCCAGCTCCTCATGTGGACTTCTGTTCTTCATTCTGATTTCTGTATAATTCAATCTTTATGGGTGTTTTCTGTAGACCAGTGTGTTATTTTCAGTGTTCGCGTTTTTTTTTTTTTACACAGTTTCAAGAAAAAAAAGAAAATGATTTTCCTTTTACAGTAAATCAAACTCGCGCACGACGCCACCCTGACGCGCAGTGCGGGCGCGCGCATCTCACGGCGGGAGCGCGCTGGAACGGTCAGTCGTGCTGCACGAGCTCATGAGTTTAATTTAATATTTCTCCTCCAGAATGAATAATTCCAGCGAGAATGAATTGAACAGCTCGGATGAGGAGGTGAGCTACTATTTACTCGCTAATGACAATGAAAGTTACTACACTCTTAGAAGGAAAGGTTCTATAAAGAACCTTAAAGGTTCTAAAGCGCTACGTATTTGGAACCCCTAAAATGCAATGCATGTGAATGATCACAAAATTCAAGATATGTGGGTTAAAAAATGTAATTTATCAATATCAGGCGAAGAGTGCCATTTCAGTTTTATCCTCCAAAATCAGCATGATTAAAATGTGATATTAAGTTACTACAACAGTTTAATAAACAATAATTTAATAACATACTACAAAATGTTGCAGAATAATGTAATAAATGAACGAATAATAGCCTTTAAAGAAGCTTTGTGCCAAAAGGGTTCTTTTTTAGCATTAAATGTCCTTTGGATTTGAGTAAAGAAGCCTATGCTACATAATATATAAAGAGTTCAGATGCAAAAGCCTCTAAGTGCCATTTGAAATTTTCTTCTAGAATGATCATTTTTATCAAGCTTGTATATTTAAGCTAATTAATTTAACTTAAATTGCAATGAAGATTACCTATTAAGTGTAATTTAAGTGAAATTACTGAACTGAAATATACAAGCTTGATAAAAATGATCATTCTAGAAGAAAATTTCAAATGGCACTTAGAGGCTTTTGCATCTGAACTCTTATAGAAGCCTTTTTTGTAGTTTCATTTAAAATATTTTCAACATTCAAACTGAAACTGGCAATGTTATTGGATGATGTTTAATTACACGACATCCGTGTTTTTATGTCATTGATCAGATCTTTGTCATTTCCCGTGTGTTTTTACTTCAGAAGTTCAGACTCAGTTTGTGTGTTCGTCTGACCTGAACAACTACACACTTTAGACAATAAAGCCCTGAAGTAATTGTCGGACACATGCGAATGAAGCCGCTGTGTGTGTGTGTGTGTGTGTGCAGGTCCGGACTCTGTTCGTCAGTGGCTTACCGCTGGACATCAAGCCCAGGGAACTGTACCTGCTATTCAGGCCTTTCCAGGTGAGATCTGAGAGTGTGTGTCCTGAACTTCTGCCATCATGAACCGATCCTCATCTGTGCTTCTCTCTTCAGGGTTATGAAGGATCCTTGATCAGATTCACCTCTAAACAGGTGAGAAACATCAGAGACACATTAATACAGAAAAGATGTCCAACACAACCGTAAAGACTAAAGAAAGTCTGCAGTCGTTTTTAAAGTTCGATGCTTTTAAGGTCAGACTGACAGACGGTGTTCTGGGGGGTTGCTATGGTGTTGCTATGCAGTCACTGTGGTACTTTGATTGGTTTCTAGGCGGTTGCTAGGGTGCAATTATGATGTTGCTTAATGATAACTGGTGTGTTCTGTGTAGTTTAAAGGACTTTAAACAAGTGTATGAAGTTTAAATCAAACAACAGTATGACTTCAGAATTTTTTTTGTGTGTGTGTGATTTAATGGTAAGTTAATTTTGAATTGAAACGTCACAGTCGGGGTATAGATCAATATCTGTTGGAGTTAGTGTGATGAATGTGATGCTTTTATTTCCATAATGAAGAGTTGATAAGTTGAACTTTATATGATTAACATGAGGATTAGAGCTGTGTACGTGAAAGGAAGATGATCATTTTATAAATGTTCTCTTTCAGTCACTTTAAATGTTCCTGTACTGTGACAAATTAACTATGAAACAGAAATATTCCATGTTGAGTATCAATTATTATGATCTTTAAGTCCTGTTGTCTAAAGCTGAACTCTTTCTTTTTTTCTTTCTTTCTTTCTTTCTTTCTTTCTTTCTTTCTTTCTTTCTTTCTTTCTTTCTTTCTTTCTTTCTTTCTTTCTTTCTTTCTTTATGAAGCTTTAGATGTTGAAGTGTGTGTGTGTATTTTTAGAAATGCCTCTTATCTCTGTCTAAAGGAAGACACACTTCCTGTTTTAATGAGGGTCAGAAACAATATAATTTTAATCTGTCAAACTCGCTGATAAAGTGTGTGAACAAACGTCTCCACAGTAAAAGACGTGGCTTAATTAACATAAAACAAACGTAAATATATAATATAAATATAGCTGCAAGCAGCCATTACCGGGGCCAAGCGCAATAAGCGGCAACATATGCCAAAATGGCAAGGAGTGGCAGACCAACTGCAGCAAGGAGCAATTAAGGGCATTTTGAGAGAACTTTGCGCAAATGGCTAAGAAAATCACATAAACATTAACTTATAAGATGATTTAATGGGTTATCACTTTCGAACAATAGGTGGCGCAGTTACGAAATAGATGTGATGTGGTCAGAGTGAGGTGACAATGACACATGCACAGTTTGGTGTCAATGTGAAGGCATTGCAGAGATAAAGCCTAAATAGTAATTTTGGCAGCATGCCTAAACTTTGATGTTGTGTTATATGAAAACGGTTTCGTCTATCATCGTGCAATTCATAACTTTTAGTCGGCACGGTCTGGAGATGATACGATTCAATTTTCGTGAAAATCGGACAAACGGTCTAGGATGAGTTCGAAAAAGAAGGTTTTTCAAAGAAATAAAGATGGCGGACAGGAAGTTTTGCTGATTATGCAAAACCTGATATCTATGTTTTCAGCATAACCCAAGGAATCTATTAAGATCAGTTTCATTGCAATAGGCAAATTTATTCAAAAGTTATTAGCGTTCTCAGAAATTAATTATAACTTTTGACCAACAGGTGGCGCTGTCTCAAAATCTTTTGAGTACCTTCAGGGCATGCTGCTTATGGCACACACTGAGTTTCGTAATGTTAGACCAAAGCATTTATTTAGTATAGCATTGTATTTCACAAAATTGTATTGAAGTCAATGGGAATTTCACGTTTTGTTCTATTATAGCGCCACCAAGAGGCTCAGTCCCACAATTTTTTGTATGTGTCCTCAGAGTGACCCCATACATATGTGTGTCAATTTTGGTGAAAATATCTCAATTCGCTTCCGAGTTATAAACATTTATATGAAAAAACACGTAAAAAATGACTGACACATGACTTTGTTTGAATTTTACTACCCCTTACTATCAATATTTTCGCATTTGGACATTAGCATATGGTTAACAAGCTATGATTCCGTGTTTCTGACGGTGGTTTCGTCTCGATCGGAAACAGCGGTTTTGAAGATATCGCTAAGTGTTTTTTCGCGCTAAATCGCTACGCTACGCCATCCGTGAGACGAAACCCGACATATTTGGTATCGTAGGAACTCGGCAACGATTCAGGACCTCAAAATATAACTCCCGTGAACAATAAGTGTACCACACCCAAAGTTATAAGCGTTTGAATAAAACAATTCACCACTAGGTGGCGCTGTTTCGAAACTTCTCAGTCTCCTTCAGGGCATCGTACTGATGACCCATACCGAGTTTCGTAAAATTCGTTCATGCGTTCAAAAAAACAGCATTTTAGCACATAATTCAAAATGGCCGACAGCCAAAATGGCCGATCTGGGAAAATTGGATATCGGTCGACTCGGCATGACGCCCTGAATCTAACGAGACCAAGTTTTTGATTTTTGGAGAAACCGTTCAGAAGTTTGAGCAAAATAGCCATTTTTCATATCTCCGGACCACTAGGTGGCGCTGCGCCGAAACGCAGCATGTAGCCTCAGGTCATGCTTGTGATGACACGTACCAAGTTTGGTCTGAAAACGAGTAAGCGTTGCGGAGATACCGCCTCACGTCTGTTTTCGCAAGCGCTATGTAAAATTTGTTTGCGCGTTTATCGAAAACGGTTATTCGAATCATCTTGAATTCCATAACTTTTTGTCAGCACTGACGGGAGATGATCCAGTGCGATTTTGGTGAAAATCGGACAAACCGTCTAGGACGAGTTCACAAAAGTAGGTTTTTTAGAAAATTCAAAATGGCGGCCGTTTTTTTATGACGGAAAATGACGTCATAGGGTGCGATCGAATCGCCATGAGCTCAGGAACAAGAGGAAAAAAGAATTTTGTTGATAGGCCTTACAGTTCAAAAGTTATTAGCATAATAAAAGTGAAACTTTGGACAGTTGGTGGCGCTAGAGGGAATGAGTTAGAGACACCAAAATTGGTGTATTTAAAGTTGGGACTGTCCTCTATCAGAATGTCAAACCAAAACAACTTTCCCGCAAACCGGTCTATGGGCTGCCATAGACGCCCAGTCGGAAGAAGAATAATAATAATAACAAGCAGCCATTACCGGGGCCAAGCGCAAGAAGCGGCAACATATGCCAAAATGGCTAGGAGTGGCAGACCAACTGCAGCAAGGAGCAATTAAGGGCATTTTGAGAGAACTTTGGGCAAATGGCTAAGAAAATCACATACATTACTTATAAGATGATTTAATGGGTTATCACTTTCGAACAATAGGTGGCGCAGTTACGAAATAGATGTGTGGTCAGAGTGAGGTGACAATGACACATGCAAAGTTTGGTGTCAAAATGTGAAGGCATTGCAGAGATAAAGCCTAAATAGTAATTTTGGCAGCATGCCTAAATTTTGATGCTGTGGTATACAAAAACGGTTTTGTCTATCATCGTGCAATTCATAACTTTTAGTCGGCACGGTCTGGAGATGATACGATTCAATTTTCGTGAAAATCGGACAAACGGTCTAGGAGGAGTTCGAAAAAGAAGGTTTTTCAAAGAAATAAAGATGGCGAACAGAACGTTTGTCTGATTATGGAAAACCTGATATCTATGTTTTTGGCATAACCAAAGGAATCTATTAAGATCAGTTTCATTGCAATACGCAAATTTATTCAAAAGTTATTAGCGTTCTCAGAAATTAATTATAACTTTTGACCAACAGGTGGCGCTGTCTTAAAATCTTTTAAGTACCTTCAGGGCATGCTGCTTATGGCACACACTGAGTTTTGTAATATTACACCAATGCATTTGTTTAGTATAGCATTTTATTTCACAAAACTCTATTGAAGTCAATGGGAATTTCACGTTTTGTTCTATTTTAGCGCCACCAAAGAGGCTCAGTCCACAATTTTTTTTATGTCCTCAGAGTGACCCATACATATGTGTGTCAATTTTGGTGAAAATATCTCAATTCGCTTCCGGGTTATAAACATTTATATGAAAAAACACGTAAAAAATGACTGACACATGACTTTGTTTGAATTTTACTACCCTTACTAAATATTTTCGCATTTGGGCATTAGCGTTTAGTTAACAAGCTATGATTCCGTGTTTCTGGCGGTGGTTTCGTCTCGATCGAACAGCGGTTTTGAAGATATCGCCAAGTGTTTTTTTCGCGCTAAATCGCTACGCTACACCAACCGTAACACGAAACCCAGCATGTTTAGTATTGTTGGACTCGGCAACGATTCAGGAACTCAAAAGATGACTCCCGTGAAAATAAGTGTACCACACCCAAAGTTATAAGCGTTTGGAAAAAAAAATTCACCACTAGGTGGCGCTGTTTCGAAACTTCTCAGGCTTCTTCAGGGCATCGTACTGATGACCCATACGAGTTTCGTAAAATTCGTTCATGCGTTCAAAAAATACAGCATTTTTAGCACATAATTCAAAATGGCCGACAGCCAAAATGGCCGATCTGGGAAAATTGGATATCGGTCGACTCGGCATGATGCCCTGAATCTAACGAGAATGACGTTTATGATTTTTGGACAAACCGTTCAGAAGTTACGAGCAAAAATAGCCATTTTTCATATCTCCGGACCACTAGGTGGCGCTGCGCGAAACGCTGCATGTAGCCTCAGGTCATGCTTGTGATTACATGTACCAAGTTTGGTCTGAAAGGAGAAGCGTTGCGGAGATACAGCCTTACGTCTGTTTTCGCAAGCGTTACGTAAAATTAGTTTGTGCGTTTATCGAAACCGTTAGGCGAAATCATCTTGAATTCCATAACTTTTTGTCAGCACTGCCTGGAGATGATCCGGTGCGATTTTGGTGAAAATCAGACAAACCGTCTAGGACGAGTTCGCAAAAGTACGTTTTTTAGGAAAATTCAAAATGGCGGCCGTTTTTTTATGACGGAAATGACGTCATAGGGTGCGATCGAATCGGCATGAGCTCAGGAACAAGAGGAAAAAAGAATTTTGTTGATAGGCTTACGGTTCAAAGTTATTAGCATAATAAAAGTGAAACTTTGGACAGTTGGTGGC